CCCACCCGCCCCGCCCCGCAGGAGTGCATGGCCATTGAGAACGAGCTGGAGGCCTGGCAGAAGGCGGGAGGCTTCTCGCAGCGGGACAACGCGCTGAGGTGCGGCGCCAGCCCCGCGCCCCCGCGCGCCGCCTCTGCCACCTGCTCTGGCCTGCTGCTCTGGCTGCCATCCAGCCCAGCCTATGTCCCAGTAAACGCACACCAGCAGTATGCACCGCCACCACACGCACATTAGACACAGGCAACACTCCAACAGCGCCCTGCCCCGCTCCCCTCCCCTCCCCACAGGCTCAAGGCCACGCTGCAGCGCCTGCGCCGCCTCACCGAGGCCTACAGTCAGCTCATGCTGGATGCCTACTCGGGGCGGGCGGCGGCCATGGGGCGGGCGCTGGGGCTAGAGGTGGAGCGATACATGGGTGGGTGGGGCGAGGGGTGGGCGGGTGTAGGGAGGGAGGTCTCTGAGAGTGCAGGGTGGCATGGCCTTTTCTGAAAGGCCTTTTCGACTGCCGCGCTCTTCCCGCCCCTTCGTGCACCTTCTCATTCCCCTGCCCCCTTACCACAATTTAGTGATTACTAACTGATCAATTGATCATGCGTGTACCCTGCGTGTGCGCAGTGTTCACCGAGGCCGAGATCCGCGCCTCCCTCGTCTTCCAGCTCTCCAAACTTTCCTCCCTGCTCATCAAGGTGGGCGGGGTGGGGCGGTGTGGCACCTGCGCGGCGCGCTGCCACACGCGGACCCCCATGCGACAGGCTGTGGCGCAGGCTTCTGGCACCAGCAGCGCCTGAGTTGCTGTGTGCCCGCCCGCCTGCTTGCTTTGAAAACTTTACCTACCCCTTATCCACCCCGCCCAACCCACCCAACCCGCCAGGCCACCAACATCTGCGCGGGCGGCTCCCCCTGGGATGTGGTGATGGCGGGCAGCGCAGAGGGCCTGCTGCTGCGCGTGCCGGCGCTGGAGCCCGGCTGCCTAGATGCGGCGCACGGCCAGGCAAGCAGGGCACAGCGCTGCACAACAGCAGGGGGTGGGTGGGGCTGGAGGGGGCAAGCTCCACCCCGGCCTCGTTGGCGAGTGGAGGCCAGGCTTGGGGGTTGCAGGCGCACGGCTGGGGGACTCACGCCGCCACCTGCCAAACTCCGCCTCGCCCTGACTTCTGCCCCGCCCCACCGATGACGCTACTCCCTCGACGCTACTCCCTCCCCCACACGCCGCACTGCCCCTTGGCAAGCGCAGGACGCCATCCTGCTGGTCCAGGGGGCCACAGGGGATGAGGAGGTGGCGGCGCTGGGGCCCAACCTGCGCGGCATCATCCTGCAGCACGACCTGCCCCACCTCTCCCACCTGGGTGCGCCCCCGCCCCTGCCACATGTAGCCCAGAAACAGTCGCTTGGGGGGTGCTGCTGCAGCCTTGACTGCCCCCCTGCGTCGCGCAGCGGCTCGGCTGTCCCTGCCTTTCCTGACGGCGCCCCCTGCCACACCCTGCACACCTGGCCTGCACACCTGGCCTGCGCGGCAATACAGGCGTGCGCACGCGGCAGGAGGGCGTGCCCTTTGTGACTTGTGAAGACAATGAGGCGGTGGCCTGGGCTGCCGATTCGCTCATGGGCCAACGCGTGCGGCTGGAGGCCAGCGCCGATGGCGTGTCCATTTCCGCCGCCGCCGCCGGCGGGGCCGCCGCCAACGGCAACGGCAGCAGCAGCAAGAACGGCAGCAGCAACGGCAGCGGCGCGGCGGCACGCAGGCCCGCGGCCAGCGCGGGCGCCGTGGAGCGGGTGCGCAGCGTGACGGTGGTGCCGCTGGAGGAGGCCACGGTGGCGACAGCTGGCGCCAAGGCAGCCTCCTGCGGCGAGCTGCTGCGCCTGGCGGCGGCATGCAGCACCGCCGCCGCCTCGGCCGCCACCGCCGCCAACGGCAGCAGCACCAGCACGGCGATCATGTCGGCTCCGGACGGCGTGGTGCTGCCTTTCGGCTGCATGGAGGCGGCCGCGGCGGCCGACGGCAAGCAGGAGCGGCTGGCGGGCCTGATTGGCCAGCTGGAGGGCGCCGTGGCGGGGCTGGCGCAGGCCGGCGGCGGCGGCAGCGCCAGCGGGCTGGCCGCGTTGGATGCCGTGTGCGGCGACATCCAAGGCCTGTTGGCGGGGCTGACCATTTCGCAGCAGGTGAGGCCCATGTGCCTGGCTAGCCGGTGGGCAGAAGCCGCTTTGAGGGTCGCTCTGAGGGCCGAGTGGCTGGCAGGGATGCCCGTGGGGTGATGCACGACTCGATACATGCCCTGCTGCCCCTGCTCCGTCACCCCTCCCATCTTCGTCCACACCATTCCCCCAACCCTCCATGCCGCCCTTGCCGCCCTCCCGCCCCCGCCCCTCCTCGCGCGGCAGGCCCTGCAGCGCGTGGCGGGCGCCTTCAAGCCGGGCGCCACCGTCATCGTGCGCAGCTCGGCCAACGTGGAGGACCTGGCGGGCATGTCGGGTGGGTTGGGGTGGCGCCGGGGTGTTTTTTGTTTTTTTTTGGTGTTGGGTGGGGCAGGCTCCAGCTGGCTCTCCGGCCCCTGCCCCGCTCGTTCCGCCTGCGCTTGTACCGCTCATGCTGCCCGTTTATACTGCCTTTACCGCAGGCGCCGGGCTGTATGACTCCATCCCCAACGTGGACAGCGGCAACCCCGGCGCGCTGCAGGCGGCGGTGGCGGGCGTGTGGGCTAGCCTGTTCAGCCGCCGCGCGGTGCTGAGCCGGCACGCGGCAGGTGGGGCTGGGGCAGGGTGGGGATGGGAGCTGGGGCGTGGGTGGCGGCGGGTGGCAGGGCGGGAGGCTGGCGGGACTCCGCCGCCGGCTGCTGCCTATGCTCTACCATGTTGCCCGCTGGGCCCCCCTCCTCAATTGTCGAGCTTCTGCTGCGCTGTCGCCTGCCAATTCCCCCTTCCCCCTGCCCTGAGCGCTGTCAGGCGACCACCTGCCCCCGCTGGCCTGCAGGCGTGCCCCAGGAGGCCTCCTGCATGGCTGTAGTGGTGCAGCGCCAGCTGGCGCCTGACCTCTGCTTCGTGCTGCACACCCGGCACCCAGGTGGGGCAACGTGCTAAGCCTTGCGGGGGCTGACAGGCATCTGTGTGCAGCAGATGGATTGGCGGGGCGTTGGCAGGGGCTGTGGCTTGTGGCTGGAATTTGGCTGGAATTCACCGCTTGGATCACGCCAAGGGAGATCTGATGGCTTGCCTGCCGCTGTGCCCTGCAGTGACGGGCGACGCCGATGTGCTGTCTGCTGAGCTGGCGCCCGGGCTGGGAGAGACGCTGGCGTCAGGTGGGGTGGCTGGCCAAGCTACACTGCTGGTGTGTGCCTTGTGGCTGGGGAATGCTGCGAGGCAGTGGGAGGCGGTGGTGGTGGACTCACCACCCCCACCCTCACCCACCACCACCACACACAGCACCTCGCACACGCCGCCAGCACCTGCCATCCATGCTCTTCTTCCCTTGCCCGCAGGCACCCGTGGCACGCCCTGGCGCATGGAGGCAGACAAGCGCACCTCCGCCGTCACCACCACCGCCTTTGCCAACTTCTCCAAGGCGCTGCTGCCGCCTGGCGGCCCCGCCGTGGTGGCTGCCTCCAACGCGGCCGTGTATGCGCCCACCAGCGCCGTGGCGGCCAACGGCGGCAACGCGGCGGTGGCAGAGGCGCCCGCGGCGGCGGCGGCGGCGGGGGTGCAGCTGCGGGTGGTGGACTGCAGCAGCCAGCCCATGTCAGGTGGGGAGGATGGGGTGGGGGCGTGGGGTGGGGCGGGTGAGGGACGGGGCTAGCGCCCCTGAGCACCGCTTCAGAGCCCACGGGTGGAGGCAGCAGGGAAGGCGAACTGGCAGCGGGGAACGCAAGTGGCAGCTGGGAGGTAACCGCTGCCCGCTGGCTCCTGCCTTGCCCCCCTGCAGTGTCGGAGGAGGTGCGCAAGGGGGTGGGCATGCGGCTGCTGGCGGTGGCTGCAGCCCTCGAGCACGAGTTTGGCGGGGCACAGGTGCGCGCTGCTGGAGGTTGCCCTGCCAGCAGGCAGCGACGACTGTGCTGGTGCTGCACCTCGTGGCCGCGCCGACGCGCACTCTTGCCCTCTCCTCCTGCCGCTGCCACCGGCTGCCGCAGGATGTGGAGGGCTGCTTCGTGGGCAACGACCTCTACGTGGTGCAGACTCGCCCCCAGCCCTGACGCGGCCAATGGCTTTGGCCGCAGCCGTGAGGCGGCTGTGCGGCACGCCTGAGGCTGCTCGCCCGCAGCCTGCCAAAACAACGGACGAAGCCTCTGGCTCATGCCCAATCTCAATTCTTTGCCGTCGCTGGCCAACGATCCCCAATACATATGAGTGCGAGGAGCGCGGCGGCTCATTTCGTCTTTTTCCATGTCTGAGATCCCTTTCGGCTATGAAAAGCCCCCTGCACCGAGCATGTGTAGCGTGTGTACTATTCCCCGTCCCACCGATGCATGCCCTTCCCTTGAGGTGTCCTGCCGGCTTCAGCTGTTTACATACGGTACAGATTAATGAATGAATGGACAACGCTTAGGGTCGGGCTGCTTGAATGGCAGCAAGTCACGCCCGCATGCGTGATGGAAGGCGCATGCAGAATGCCGACGGGAAAAAGGCAGGGCAGGGGTGCATGGGTGGCGCAGGAAAGGGGTGCGGGAGGCGCAGATGTATGGTGGAGCAGTGTGTGTGGTCATTGGGAGCAGTGTCGGCATGAATGAGTCAACAAATCTTGGCAGGTGAGGAGCATGGTGTGAGAGTGCACATAGCCGCCGGCCTGCGCAGCAGCAGAGGGGGCGCAAATGCGGGTGAGCAGCCAGTCGTGCACTGCCACAGTGCAGCCCCAGGCAGGCTGCTCATGGCCAGGCCAGCTCCCTCACCTGGTGATGGGGTGGGGAGCTCAGTCACGGCCGCTCTTGCGGCCAGACTTGCGGCTAGACTTGCCGCGGCCGCGGCCCCTCCCCCGGCCAGGGTTGTCGGTGCGGTTGAAGAGGGGCACCGTGCCGTTGAAGGGGCGGTGGTCGTCGGTGCCATTGTGGGTGTGGTTGCGGCGAGGTAAGGTGCCGTTGAACAGGCCGGTGTGGTTGAATGTGCCGTTCAGGGGCAGCGTGCCGTTCCAGCGGGGGTGGGGGAAGTCGTCGGTGCCGTTGCGGGTGTGGTTGGCGCGCGCGGGCTTCGGCCCGGGGGCGGGGGCGGTGGCGTTCCTGGGGCGGTCGTCATTCCTCCTGCCGCCCTTCCTGCATGCATCACAGGCGGGATGGGGTGGGTGAGTTGACAGTTCGGTTGGTAAGCATGGAGTCAGCTCCACCGCTGGCGCCATCCATCAGATGGCTTGTTGCGCAGGTCGAACTTTCGGTTTTGGCCACGCCACCCCCCGCAGCTCCTCCCTGACAGCCCAGCCAAACATTTCCAGGGCTTGCAGACGCTGGGAACAAGCTGGACAGAACAGGCACTTATTAGGGGACCTACTTGGCCGACGCCGACGCCAGCAGGCAGAGGAGGAGGAGGGCGAGGAGCTTCACGGTGGACATCCTGGAAGCAGCGAGGTACTCCGAGGGAGGAGGCGAGAAGAGATTGAATGGGGTGATCAACGCGCCATTTTATCCCTGGCTCGAGTCAGCTGCCGTCGCACTTGCTCCGCGTAAGCCACTTAGCTCCGACCCCCCAGGCAATCTGCCGTCTGTGGTGAAATGGACCCCAAGAGAGCAGAGAGGAGCTCCGGCACGTCGGGGTCAACGGGGGAGGCTCTCGGGAGGTCCGGCCTGCAGCAGCGCTAGCGGCGCCGCCAGCTGGCACGGCACCGCCCCGTCCTGCACTCCCTGTCAGCGCCAAGGGGTGCTGCTGCCGCTGGTGGAACAAGCTTTCTTGAAAAGCAGGAGCAGCATTTTGTGGGAAGTCAGATGCTCCCTCCCTCGACAGCATGCTTGAAAGGCGACCAAACGGTGTGACACCGCTGGCTCCGCAGCCAGACATGCCCGACCTTCACTGCCCAGCCCAGGGGCAGTGCACAACAATGCTTCATAAGCATTACACTAAACAAGTGATAACCATGAGGTGAGCATAATGTGCATGCAATGGTGGCAGTGGGTAGGAATCGTGAAGAATCGAGGGAGCGGGAGGGCGACCCGCCGGCAGTGGAAGGGGACAGATGGGCAAAATGGGGCATCATGCGGGGATGAATAATGGAATCAGTGAATAAGAGAATGGAAGAATGGGGGAAGCATTCTCAGCTTGTACATACATGCAGGACCGCAGCTAGGCTCAGGCAGCCCCGCTGCGGCGGCCACCAGGGCGGGGCGGCGGCGCGCCGTCGCTCTCCTTGCCGGCGTCGCCGGCGCCCTCGCTGTCGGTGTTGTTGTCATCAGCCGGGTCCTGGCCCTCGTCATCTTTGCCGCGGCCTGCAGCGGCAGGACTGGAAGGAGTCAGCGCCACACACAAGCACTTGCCACCGGGGGTGCAGGCTGCCCGCATCCACACCCAGCACCGCCCCTGGGCCGACACCCACCTGAGCCGCCTTCCTCGCCGTTGTTGCCATTGCCAGCGCCCTCGCCCCTGCCGGAGGAGCCGTGGCCCTCGTCATCGTTGCCGCGGCCTGCAGCAGGCGGGAGGCAGACAGGCAGCTGGGTGGAGCTGGTTCACTTGCAGCACAAGCAACGGCCGGTGCCAGTACCGCTGTGCAGCGAACACTGTGGTGCACCCGGCAGCCCCCCGGTGCACATGCTGCCGCCTCTTGCACAGCCCGCCCGCTATTGGGGCCGCCCACCTGACTCAGAGGCGCCGCCTTCGCGGTCGCCGCCAGGGCCGCCTTCGCGGTCGCTGCCAGGGCCGCCGTGGCGATCGTCGCCGCCGGGGCCTGCAGCGGCAAGGGAGGCAGGCGAAGCAGTGTCAGTTGCGTTACTCAATTCTGTGCGCAGTGAGCTGCGGGGCCGGCCAGCTAACTGCACGCCTGGTGCGGCGCCTGCTCCAGTCCCCTCACCCCGCAACCCAGCATGCAAACTCACGGGAGCCACAGGGGGGCAGGGCACCGAGGGGGGCGCCAACAGGCGGCAGGCCGTCACGGGGAGGGAAGGGGAATGGGCCCTCGTCAGGGGGGAAGGCGCCCTCGCTGGGAGGGAAGGCGCCGTCACAGGGTGGGAAGTCGTCGCCTCCGCGGTGGCCGCCGCCATGGTGGTGGCTGGGGGCAGGGGCGGGGGCGACGTCAGTGGAGTTGGCCTTCTTCTTGTTGCTCGCCCTGCAGGGGTGCGGCAGCGTGGGGAGGGAGGGGATGGAGGGGAATGTGCTCAGGACAAGGGAGGCATGATGAGGCCGGTTGGCCGCCATTGAGAGGAGGCGGTGAAGCCGCACTGCTGTTCGCGGCTGTCACTGGGGCGGGCATGGCGCTCGCAGGCAGAGACACTGGCAGGAAGCGAGGCATTGTGGGTGCGCACGCCCCACTGATGATCGACATGATGAAACGTACCCAGAGACAGCTGACGCCAGGGCAAGGCCCAGCATTACGGCGGCGACGAACTTGACCATCTTTCGGGACGACCGCGAACAGCAGAGCAAAAGAGGTGAGGTCTTGGCCCTGCCCGGGCTCAAGTAGCCCCTCCCTCACGCGTTTTCAGATTTACCCGCAGGCAGCCGAGATGGCAGTCGCGATGGCAGCCGTGATCTCAGGTACGCAGTGCACGGGGAGGGTTGCGCTGGCAACGTGGCTGTTGGACACCTGGCGCAGCCCCGGCGACGGGACGGGGGTCCCAGAAGCTGGGTGCAGTAGCTGAACGGGACGTGATCAGAAAGGTGGCCGGAGCCCATGGCCGCCGTAAAAGACTCTCAGTCAGCATGGGGCATGCCCGCAGATGGCCCCCCTGAGCGCAGGGTGGCGGCGCCCATGCATTTGCCATGCCCCGTCGGCGCCACCGCCAGCCCAGCGTGCCGTGCGGCACTCCGCAGCAGCTGAACCTCGCAGGCTAGGCCAGCACTGCGCCTCCCGTCCACTGCGTGTATTCCCACTATCCAAAAATCCTTACACACCGCAGCATACCGGTCGCCCAACATTGCACCAGCAGCAGGGGAGGCCCAGGGCGGCTCAGCTTCAGCCCGCAGGCGCTCCTTCACGCCAAGCATCAGCCTGCGGGCTCAGCCTGCTGGCCTGTGCGTGCTCCGGTCTGGCCCCTGCTAAGTCGCCTGATGCGAAACACTGCGATGCGCTGCTCTGGAAACAGGTCGGCGGGCGGGAACTGCGGCGGCGGCGAGCTGGGCGGCGGCGGCGCTCCAGGCTCCCACACCTGCAGGCGGGCAGAGAGGGCTAGCGGGGTGTGAGGGCGACGGCTCAAGGGGCAGGAAGAGCGCCCAACTACTAGTGGCGGTACCCTCCCACATCCCTCCCTGCACTTGCTGGCGGGGCGTCTGCCGCCTGCCGACAAGCGCAGCGCAGCAGCTGGTGCCACGTCAGCGGCAGCCCGCCCACCTCCCACGCCTCCAGCCCGCAGGCGGCCAGCTGCTCGAAGAACTCGGCATCCAGCAGGTCGTAGCGGTGCTTGGTGTGGCAGTACAGCACGCAGGTTGTGCTGCCCGCCAGCGCCGCCAGCACGCGCGGCAGGCAGCGCGAGCCGACCTCGTTGTAAATCAGGTCTGAGCCCACAATGAAGTCCCAGCCCACGGCGGCCAGGTCCTGGGGCGCGGCTGCGGGATGCTGGCCTGGGCCCGCCCCCGCACCTACTGCGGCCTGCGCTGCTGCCGCTGCGGCCTCGTGGAGCGGAAGCTCGCCGGTGCTACCGCCGTCGCTGTGGTCTCGTGCGGCCCGGCACGAGCCAGTCCCTGCTGCACCCTGCACGCCGGGTGGCTGCTGGCTGCTGCTATGCAGCCCATTGCTGCCGGCCACATCCGCCGTGCCGGCGCTGCCGCCTTCCGTTGGCGCGTACTGCAGCCAGTCGCAGGGCTGTACCCGCACGTGGTCCAGGGGCAGGCCGCGAGCCCTGTTGGTGTCTACATTGCGCTGCAGGTGGGGCAGGCCGTCCAGCTGCTCGGTGAGGCACACCAGGGCTGCCTGGCCCATGTTGCGTGCCAGCGTGCATCCCAGCCAGCCGGTGCCAGCGCCAAGTTCGAGCAGCCTGACCCCAGGCCTCTGCAAGCCAAGTTCCGCTGCTGCGCTGCTGCAATACCTGCGGCGGTGGCGGAAGCAGGCGGTGCGAGCGGGGCAGGGGCCCGGTCAGGGTGGTGCGGGCGGGGGAGGCGGTGCTGCCGCGGCGGCAGGCATGCAGGCGCATGCCGCGTCGCATACTCCGCTAATCGATACGCGGCCTTCCATGTGTGGCCTCCGGTGGTCGCCAGCGGGGTGCTCTGGACCTCTACGTCATTGACCCACGAAATTTCATCATTCATCAGTTGATGGTGTTACAGTTATCGGGCGGATAGCTGAGACGAGGGGGATTGCACTCTGGGGGTGCTGAAACACGGGCCATTGGTTGGCCTGGCGCTGACATGGCGCCGTGTGGCAGACGCCGGTGTGCTTCCTTGCAGCTCTGGCAACTGTTTTACATCAGCCGTATTGGCAGCAGCACCAAAATCATTCAACCTGTCTAATAATGACGGCAACTCCATTTCGCTGCTGTGCCGCCGCCGCCGCCGCCGCCTGCTACTTTGCTGCCGCTGCCGCCGCCGCCACCTTCACCACCTCCCCCACGACTGGGTACTTGGAGCAGAGCCGCCCCTGCCACTCCCTCAGCGAGTCCAGCTCAGCCAGAGAGAGGCCGGAGAGGTCGTCGCAGCAGTCTGCAGGGCGGCATGGCATGCTCAGAGTGGTGGTGTGTTTGTGTGCGGGTAGGTGCAGGAGGTGCATGGTGCACAAAACCAGGCTGGCTGGGCTGGGCTGCATCCGGCCGGGCACACAGCAGCTGCCTGCATGGGCCTGCAGCATGCAGCCAGCGCAGCCAGGCGCACCTGCCGCCTCGGTCGAAAACCTGGCCAGCGCGCGGGCGCACTCCTTGCCGGCAAAGGGGTAGGCGCCATCGGGGCCGTAGAAGCCGCTGCCTGTGCCCGCGGCGGACAGAAGAGCCAGTGTGACCAGCAGCGCAGGGTCGACAACACACAGGCTGCTGGCACAATAGCGGCAGCGCAAGGCGTGCCAGCACCGCAAGACCGCCTCAGCCGCGTGTTCACAGGGCAGCCAACAGCCCCCGGCCCACCTGCCGTCACGTCCAGCACCGTGCCGCATATTGCCAGGTACAGCGGCTTGCTGCTGTTTGCACCATTGTACTGCTCTAGCTGCTCCGCTGTCAGCTGCAGCGGCGGCACCACCTGCACCGGAGGAGGGGCCGAAACGGTCACGTTGGGGCGGGCAGGGACAGGGCCGCTTCACGACTACCAAGGTGGCAGCAGCCGGCAGCAGCTGGCGGGGCAATGGGCAAGCAAAGCACCGCGGAATGCAGATGCACAAGGTTGCGGCGGCAGCTGAGCCCCTCAGCGCGATGGCTTCTCGTCACCACGGCGGCCGCCACGGGGGCGGCTCGCCGCGTCGGCTTGATAAATTGGATTTGGAATAGTGTCACGAAGCATCCTCGGGGCAATGCAGCAGTGCAGCAGGCAGCATGGAAATTCACAGCAAGCGCAGGAGTCCTGGCTGTGCAGCGACTTGTGGGCGCCTCGGGATGCGCCCCCTCCTGTAGCACTCACCCGCCCCACCACTTCATACTTGCTCTCAAACGTGCGCTCCCAGTCTGCCAGGCTCTCCAGCTCCGCCTTGCTCAGGCCCTCCAGGCTGCAGGCCGGAGCACAACGGAGGGGAGGCGGCAGTTCAGGCATGGGCCACCGCTGCTGCTGCCTCTTCCTGCCAGCCCACAGTCGATGGCCCGCAACATATGCTGCTGCCTGCAGGTCGCAGTGTTGCAGGCAGCCGCCAACCAGCACGGCCCAGAAGCCCAGGCACCCAGCGCGCACTGCATGCCTCACTTGTCGGTGCATTCCTCCTCTTCCACAGCCACCTTGGCCAGCGCCCGCGCCACCTCCCTCCCAGCAAACAGATGGTAGCCCGCGCCTGGCAGGAGCAGGCACCACAGGCGGGGGACGGCAGGGCGTCAGCAAAGGGTAGCATAAGGCATGCACATGGGTGCTGGCACGCAGGGCAGGCCTGCTAGTAGCGGCATGCTGCGGGCAGCGGAATGCCTGAGCACAGGTCTTGCGCATTCTGTTGCAGAACGGCCGCGCTGCAAGCACAGCCAGCCTGAGCCATACCTGGTCCGTAAAAGGCACGCCCGGTGGTCACATCAAACACGCGTCCTCGCACCGCCAGCAGAAGCGGGCGCATGGGGTCGCGCCCGTTGTACTTGCTGAGCTCCAGCAGCGTCAGGTCGCCAACCTGTTGGCAGCAAGCGGAGGCGGCGGCAGCGGGTGAGGATCGGCCCGCTGCCAGGTGCAGCTGGGGCCACAGCGCGGACAGCCCGCCCATTCCCAGACGCTCAGATCGCTGCTGCTGGATCGGTAGGCCTCCAGCAGAGCGTGGGGGGGCTTCACTGCCCCGCATGTCCACCCACCTGCCGGGGCTTGTACTCCAGCGGCGCTGGCGGCTTGCGCGGGAAGAATATGGCACGCAGCAGCGACAGCAGCACGTAGGCTACCACCAGGCCGCAGGCGGTGACGATGACGTTCATGGCGGCGCCTGTGGAGGCTACGAAGCGGGGCCAGTGGCTGTAATCGGATCGGCAGCAGCCACCACAAGCCCAAAGGATCCCACATTGTGGCGGCAATAACCTGCTTTCCAGCTGCCGCCGCCCGCCGCCGCCGTCGCTGCGCTGGCAGCGACCAGACAAGCAGTGGCAGGGACTGCCCTCACTGGCGGGCTGGGGCATGTGTCCTGATTGCATTTGCATTCATATTCCAGGTTGCAACAGCTCAAGGCGCTAAGTGCACGGACAGGACACGGGGGGGCCATCAGCACGCAACAAAGGTGAGTCGGGTGTCAAGGCTCGGCGCCCGGCTTCATCAGCACGCGGGGCACCAGGATGTAGGCGCACCAGTCCCACGCCGCCGCCAGCAGCAGCAGGCACACGGTGCTGAGGTGCACGGCGCTGTCCTCCCAGAACAGCCAGTACACGGCGCGGTACACGCGGGCCAGGCGGGTGCGCTCCCGAGGCAGGCCCGCCGCGCGCCGCTGCGCCTGGTGCTGCCGCCACAGCCGCGCCTCGCCCAGCGCCTCGTGCAGCAGCGGCGCCAGCAGGCCCAGGCAGAGGCGCAGCCACAGAATCAGCGAGGCGCACCGCGCAGCGTGGGTGGGCTCCGCGGCGGCGGGGCTGGGGCCGGCGGTCGGGATCGACGACCCCAGCAGGTTGGCCAGGGCGTTGATCAAGCGGTACAGCTGTCGGGTCTGCTTCTGTCCCGCCGGGTGGACAAACGGGGCGGCGGCGCATATGGAGGGCGTGTGGGGCATCGAGGCCAGGAACAGAGTCGCCTGCACGGCGGCGCTCAGGCTGCAGGCAGGCGTGGAAGGGGCACGGGCAGCGGGCGGGGGGCGCTTGGCGCAAGCCGAGCTGTAGCCCGGAATGGTCTCGCCCCAGTCACAGCAGCGCTGACATCACCGCTGCGCCCTCCTTGCAGCAGTCAGCCCCCGTGGGCGCCCTCTGCTGGGGCCTCCTCCCCACCTGAGCCGCACCCGCAGCGACAGCGCATTGGCCGCCATCTTGGCGGCGCCGCTGGCAAAGAGAAGCCGCGCAGCGCAGCCCCAGAAGCCGCCCACGGCGGACGCGTGGTCATCCAGCAGGCGGCGCATGAGCAGCCAGGCGGCGGCCGGCCCAAAGGCGTTGAGGCAGAGCAGCGCGGCCGGCAGCTCCCGCCACCGCGTGTAGCTGCCCGGCCAGCCGCAGCGCCAGGCGATGTCGGCCAGGGCGGTGGCCAGGGACGCCAGCACCCATGTGAGGGTGCCCGGGGTGAGCAGGCTCCAGCAGCGGTAGAGGATGATGACCGAGAATGCCTGCAGGGCAGCTGGCGCCCATGTGTTGTGGCGGTACTGCACGGACGCAGTCGCTGTGCTGCCGCCCCTGTCGGCCGATGCAGCCAGCAGCGGCAGCAGGGAATGCTGCCAGGCCCCTCACCATGCTCAGCCAGGGCTGCCGCCACGACCGCCGGCCCTGATCGGCCCACAGCATGTTGCACCGCTCGGCGAAGGGTGTGGAGGGGGTGCCCGGCAGGCTGGCTGGTGGTCCTTGGACCAGCGCTGCTACCGTTCCCTGGCCATGCCCTGCCACCACGGGCGCCCTCGACCTGCCTGGAGGCACGCCGCCCCATGGCATCCTGCCTGACCTCGAACGGCGGCACACAAGGCGATGTCAGCCTAGCACTCTTCAGTTGTGGACTGGAATTCTCAGTGAATTAAAGGCAATGCGCAAACTCACAGACGCCGCTTTGCAAAGCTTTGTCCAGCAGCCCCGGCTTCCCAACAGGAAAATGCGAGATAGCAGACACGAAGGAAGGCTTCCCGCATCACTGCAACTCATCCTTTATTGGTCACATGAGCAGCAGCAGGGCGAGCGGGTCTCTGGCCTCATTGGCAGCTACATGCACCTGAGCCCAGGCGCGCATTGAGCACCCCTCACTGCTCAAATGATAGCCGCTGGCAGCGGGCGCTGCGTGGTGCCGTGCCGCCTGCTTGCGCCACTGGTGGCGCGCCGCCATGGGGTGCCCCGCCTTTGTCGCCTGCCTGCCGCCGCCACGGCGGCGACGGCAGCTGCAGAGCAGCAGTGGGAGGCAGCAGGATTGCACAGCAGCGCGGCGCCAGGAGTAAGGGACCTGGACAGGCTGCAGCTGGATGTGGAGCGCAAGCTGGGCATTCCTCTAGAGATTTACAGAGCGGCAAGTTGCCTTTTGCGCTGCGCCTGCACGAGCGTGGTGTGTTGCTGCGTGGCCTGCGTGACCCGGTCACTGGCTGCTGCCCTGCAGGCTGGAGGCGTGCGCGTGCGGCAGCATGTTAACCCCCTTAAAAAGGTGTGTGGTTTTCAGGGAGGCCGGAACGGCACAGTGCGGAGGGGGTGCCTGCTTCTACTGCCGCTGCTGCCTGCCTGCCTGCCTGCCTGCCCTTGCTACCTACCTGCCCTTGCTGCCTGCCCTGCTGCAGGAGCTACAAGTGCCCACCGAGCCGCCCGTCTGGGAGGAGGTGTATGAGCAGCCGGGGCGCCCAATGGTGCTGGACCTGGGCTGCGGCTATGGCCGCTTCCTGCTGGCGCTCAGGTGGGGACGGTGTGTGTGTATGTTTGTGTGCGTGTTGGGAGTTGGGAGGGCCTGACTGGGCTGGTTGGCTGGTGGCTGAGCTGCGTGGCAGATGGGGCGCCCCTGAGCCGAGCTGCCCTGGAATGCGGTTCACATCGCTCTGCCAGCACCAAGTGCTGCACGCCTCGATGCCCCACTCCGTGTGCTGCTGCAGCAAGGCGATGCCGGGGCACAACATGGCGGGGCTCGAGATCCGGGCTCCCATCATAGAACGGTGAGGCGCGACGCGCTGCACATTACTTTCAGTCGCATACTCTTATATCCCTAACTCCACTGAGCTCTGTGCACAGGCCTCGCTTCCATGTCAAAGCATGCAGCTTGTCGCACCGCCACGCCCCCTTGACTTGGCAGCAGCTCGGCTGATCAGTGCCCCGCCGCCCCTGTTCCTCCCTTTTCCTTCAGGGCCAACAAGTGGGCGGTCAACCTGGGCCTCGACCGCTCGGTGCTCTTCCTCAGGTGCGCGCTTCCCATGGCTGCGGCAGCAGGGCAGGCCAGGCAAGGATGCGGGCGCCCACCCGCCACGCCAGCCCACCTTCTCGCCCGCCGCCCATGCCTGCCTGGCTTCCCGCCCTGGCATCGCCCTGGCTCACCTCTGCTGCCGCCCGCCGGGGATCCCGCCGTCCTGCAGGGGCAACGCCACCATTACGCTGCAGCACACCCTGGGCGGCTACCCCGGCCCTCTGGACCTGGTGTGCGTGCAGTTCCCGGACCCTCACTTCAAGGCGCGGCACAAGTGAGGGGTTCAAGTGTGGTGTTGTCGGGTGGCTGGTTGACTGTCTGTCCTCAGAGCCGTGTGCTCAGTTTGGGCTGGTTGGGAGATGTGCGGCCGGAGGGGCCAGCTGCTGCCTTGCCTGCGCGCCAGGGAGCGGCCACTTGGTTGCCCCAGCTCTCACACCCAAATGCCCCGCCCCGGCCCCGCCCTCGCCCTGCGCCTGCCAGGAAGCGGCACACGGTGCAGCGGCAGACAGTGGAGGCCTTAGGGCGGCTGATGGCGCCCGGCGCCCGCGTCTTCCTGCAGTCGGACGTGCTGGGGGTGAGCCTGGGCTGAGGCCCTGGGCCTGGCCTGGCCTGCTGCTGTGCCTCGTTGGCTGGGTGCGAGGTGTGCCCCTTCCCCAGCTCGACGCCTGCATGCCTATCCATGGGCAGCCGTACACACATGCACAGCTGTGCTGCTTCCTCCTCCCCGGTGCCTTCTCCCTCTCCGTGATCCACTGGGCGACACCCCTGCCGCCGCAGGTGGCTGAGCACATGCGCGATACGTTTGAGCAGCACGGCAGCGCCTGGTTTGCGCCCTGCCGGGAGGCGCACGGTGGGGCGACCTTTTGCGCCGCCAGCGAGCCGCCGCCGCCGCAGCAGCAACAGCACGGGGAGCAGGCACAGCAGGGGGCCAGCGCCGCAGGCGGGCAGGCACAAGCCCAGCAGCAGCAGCACCACCACCAGCAGCACCAGCAGCAGCAGCAGGAGCAGCAGGAGGCCAGCGAGCCGCAGTGGGAGTCTGAGTGGGCGGCCTCTGGCTGGTTGCGAGACAACCCGCTGGTGAGCTCCTGCTCTCCTAGCGAGCCGGCTGGCCTCGATACCGGTACACGACAACATCAACCCTGTTGGCGTGACCCATGCGCCCGCCTGAGAGGGTGCCCTGCTACTCTGTGCTGTGCCGTGCTGCAGGGAGTGCCCACCGAGCGCGAGGTGCTGACCACGGAGCAAGGCCTGCCCGTGTACCGCCTGCTCCTGCGCCGGACCTGACTGGCATGGCTCCAGGCGTGCCGCGCCAGGGCTTGCGGCTGGCGAGGAGCACCGCGCTGTGAGTGTCTTGGTACAGCTGTGTTATTTCATTAGGGCCCGCTTTAATTTACAATGTATGTACAATGGATGGGCCCCAGGTGCTTTCAGATGTACAGGCTGACAGCAACAACATGCTTAAGAGCCCCAGATATTGCAAACGTGAATTGGAGAGGGTGCGCTGAAACAGCACTTGGAATACACTGTACAATGGAGCAGCCAGCCACGCCCTGGCATGAACCGGGCGCTGCTGCTCGGCGAGCGCTCAGGGCGCCGGCGCCCTGGCCCCACAGCCTGGCTGGCACGCGCCTCAGGCCGACCTGAAGTCTTCGAACCGCGTGGCAAACACCAGCACCACGTCTGCCACCTCCGCACCACATGCCACCGCCACCATGCGGCAGGCCGCCTTGAACCAGTGCTTCTCCCGCTCCCGCCGGTGCGCCAGGCCGGCCTCCAGCCGCGCCAGGCTGCCCGCCTTGTAGCGGTGGGCGGGAGGAGGCAGGTCAGCGACGGCGTTGAACCACACGGTGGCGCCGCTAGGCCCGCCGACGTCGATGAAGCACATCTCCTCCTCTGCATGGTTGGTGGTGGGGAGGGCAGGGCTGGTTGGCGGCAAGATTTGGTTGCCGGGCTGCCGGCGCCTGAGCAGCCTGGGAGGGGCGGTCGTTCTCGAACATCGCCTGTGCAAGCATGGCTGTCCCGTCACTGACGTGGTGCGCAAGCTGGCGCACAATGTTGCAGGCGGCCTTCCACCTGTGCCATTGTTGTCCCAGTACAGGCGGAAGTCTGGGCGCCAGCCCGAGCCGTGCAGCAACACCCCGCCGACCAGCTTCTGCAGCAGGCTGTGCAGATTGCCCAACTGCTCCACCTGCAGCCCAGCAGGGGGAGAGGAGGCAGAGAGCAAGGGAGCTGCTGGGCAGCGCAATGCTGGCAGGGTGAGGACTGCGCACGCGTCCTCCCTTCAATCAGGCCGCCCCCGCCCTCTGCCGCCGCAGCCCGCTCCCGCCCTGCCGGCTCCATTCGTTTACCTCCTGCTGGGAGAAGCACGGCATGCCGTCCAGGTCCCGCCTCCAGCTGGGCACCATCAGCCGGCCGCCGGCGGGAAAGAAGACGCCAGTGGGCACCATGGTGGAGGCCTTGGAGGGGTGCCGACCCGAGGCGGCGGCTGTGCCGAGGGCCTGGGAGCCGCCCGCCTCCGCATCTGCGGGCTCGCTGGCGCCAAACAGCCGCCATGCGACGCTCTCGATCGCATCGGCGATCTCATTGGCAGAGGACAGGCTCGCTGCGGCGGCGCTGGCGCAGCTGGATTGGCCGCGGGCGGGGAGCGGCAACGCTGGCGGCAGCGTCGTGGCCAGCGGCTGGAAACAGGCCATCAAGGCCACGGTCCACTCCTCCTGCGGCTCCTGCTTAACCTCGCCGTCGGAGTCGGAGTCGTCGTCGCCGTTGTCCTGGAGGAGCTGTGCCGGCCCTGGCTGCCCAAAAGACCAGCCCAGCCAAAAGCCCCCCGGCAGCTGCAGCGTCACCCCAGCTGCGTTGGCAGCCAGAATGCTGCCAGCGAGCAGAGCAATGGTGCCAGCAGCCACCTTGGCAGCAAGTTTCTGATCCATCCTGCTGCTGCCGCTCAAGCAGCAAGTTGCCTGCTACGGCAGTAGGCCGGGGTGGTGAACGATTCTTATCCACCCAACTTTCTTTACAGTAACTTTGGAAAGCATGAGACATGAGAGCAGATTGATCTCACTACCATCTTGGAATGTACAGTTTATACAACGGTAGCCGACAGACAAACCAGATCCCATGAAAAGGTTAGTTGAATGAAGAAGGCAGCACCACTGAATGCGGTGCACTGTGCAACAAAACACACACAACCGCAGCGCTCAAAGCGGGGCCAGATAAAAGTGGTGCTTGCAAAAGTCCATGACAGCATTTTGGTCTGCACCACATGCCCCGGCCACCATGTGGCAGGCCGCTTTGAACCAGCGCCACTCCAGCTCTCGCTGCGGCGAGCTGCCTGCACCGGGCTGCTCCTGGGGTGCCGGGCTGAAGGCGGCTGCATTGAACCACACAGTTGTGCCGTTGGCATCCAGGAACCCCACCTCATTCTCTGCGTGGCATGGAGCAGGGAGTGGAGAGCTTGTTGATGGCCGGGAGGAACAACTCATGTTGGAAGTGCAAGAGGCACTTGGGTGCCTGGGTTGGCATCTCGCCGCCGCTCCCACCTGCTTCGTCCCAGCACAGGTGGAAGGCAGGCTCCTTGCCCCAGCCCTTCAGGAAGACTTCTTGTAGCAGCTGCTGCAGCTGCATGTGCAGGGTGCCCAGCTGGATCCTCTGCAGGGCGTGGGCAGACGGCACGTGAGTCGCCGCGGAACCCAACCGCCCCTGACCATTCTGCTGCCCCTCATCAGCCCACCTGCTCATCAGCAATGTGAGGCATGGCTCCCAGGTCCAGCCACCAGCTGGGCACCCAAATCTCCTTGCCGGTGGGAGTGTGAATGCCACCGTGAACCATGGCATAGGGCTTGGAAGGGTGCTGGCCCGAAGCTGGCGGCGGAGCCGGCGCCACCGATGAGCAAGCCGCATCTGGCGCGCTGCCGGTGCTGAACAGCCTCCGGGCTGTGCTCTCCAGCACAGGATGGATCGGCTCCTCGCCTGAGCTGCCGTCACTGCTGCTGTCTGCACTTGTGCCGGCACGGCTGGATTGGCCGAGGTCTGGGAGCGCCTCCGCCGATGGGAGCGCCTCCACTGACAACTCGCTCGTGAGCCGCCAGCGCCCCTGCCAGGCCCCGGCGGCCTTGTCAGCCGCTGCGGGCTGGGTCTCAGCGGGCTGGCTGGCCGCCACTCGCCTGCCTCCACCTCGCCTGCCTCCCTCCTCTCCTGTGCCCACATCCAGCGAGCCGCAATGACCAGCATTGCAGCTCCACTGGTGGTGGCAACCAGCCGAGCGAGCCTGGCGCTGGCCAAGATTTTCATGTGGGTAATGCTCTGCTTAAATGCCTCTAATGCTCTGCTTAAATCAGCAATCAGCAACTTATAGCATGGGAGAGCAGTGGAAAGAGAGTTCCTGGAAATGGCCGTACACGCGGTGTGGGCGGGTTGGCGCTACCGCCTGCCAAAGAATGCCCTCTGGAACTGCGGGCTGCAGCGCAGCACCACCTGCGCGTGCGCCTCTGCCAGCACATCGTCGTGCGAAGCCCCCCAGGTGTGCGCCAGCAGGTGACAGGCGGCCAGGAACCAGGCGCGCGCGCGGCTGGCCTTGTAGTTCCCGTGTGCCGCCGAGCTGCCCGCCACATCGGGCTGGGAGGCGGGATCTGGGGGGTCTTGCGCTGCATTGAACCACGGCGTGCCCGCCGCATCCACATACCCCATGGCCACATCTGCGGTATGCAATTGCAGGCGGGGGGCCATGTCAAAGCGGGGTCAGGCATAGCAGCAGCGGCGCCCGGGAGTTGAGCAGGCACTTCTGGTTCCGGTGGCTCCCAGCCAATGTCCACACCATTCGTCAGCACCAATGCCTGCCCAACACGCTGCGCTGGCAGGAGAAACCCTCCAGCAGCCCTCACCCACCGTCAGGATCCCAGTAAACACCAAAGCGTGGGGCCTGCTGCGCCGCGGCCTGACGCAGGAAGATGTCTCGCAGCAGGCGGTGCAGCAGGCGGTGCAGGGTGTGCATCTGCACGGGGGTTGGCAGGGCCGCCTGCAGGCAGGCGGGCGGGCGGGTGGGTCAGCGCTTGCAGGCAGGTGGGGCAGCACTTGCAGGCAGAGCTTCTTCCGAAGCAATCCCCGAAGGTGTGGTGTGTTGCTGTGGGTTGGCAGGGGTGGCTGCCGCACGCGCAGCGCACCTGCCCGCCTGCCGGCCCGACTGCGTCTGGCACCAGCAGCTCGTGGCCTGCCACAGAGATGGGTTCCATGTGGGTGGGGGCCTCACGGCAGCACGCATACTCGTGCCCCAGCGCCACCGCCACCCTGTCAAAGGCGGTGCCATTCCGCAGCTCCTGCGCTCGGTGCTGCCAGAGGCGTGGGGCATGGTGGCCGCTGCCGTCACTGCCGCCGTCGCTGCTGCCGGCGTCGGCAGCACCAAACAGCTCGACTGCTGCGGCGTCGATGGCGGCCTCGCTCAGCAGCAGCGGCGGCTCTTCGTCCGCGCTGTCGTCGGGGCTGGAGGCGTCTTGGTATGCGCTGCCGCCGCTGCTGGCCTCCTCCTCGCTCTCGCTCTTGCTTTCCACGCAATGCACGAGCACAGGCTCGACTCTACTGCTGTTTGCGGCGCTGCTGGAAACGACGCCGGCAACTGGTCGGGCCGGCGTCGTTTCAGCGGCGGCGGCGCCGACGAGGCCGCCGCCGCCGCTGACTGGCAATGCCACTGCGGCAACCCTGCCATCCCCAGGGGGCCCTGCTGGAGCTCCTGCGGGTGCAATATGCTTCTTCTTGCCCTTGTGCGTCACCACCAGCACAACTTTCGTGAGGCTCCCGGCAAGCAGCACCGATATGCACAAGTGCAGGAGTGCATCCACGTTTAGGGCGCCCTTCATCTCTGGTTCTGTGGCGGAAGGTGCACCAGAGAGCGTTTTGCAGCGCAAGCGAGCTTACTGCCGTGGACACGGGAGACGGCTGGTCACATCGGCACAAATGTTGCAGGTTGCTCCCAAGTGAGAATGCACCGTGGGAAAGTCTCTAAAGCATACAACAAATCGATCGATTAAGTCAGTGGGTGACAAATTTGTGCGCCGCCACTCAGTGGAGCTCCCGCCAGCTGCCCGCCGCCACCATGCTGCCGCTGGCCCCGAATTCGGTCTGAAACCGGGCGGCAAAACGCTGCACCACCTGCCCGTACACCTCCGCGAACCGAGCACCGCCGTCGCCCCCCGGGGTGCAGCTGTGCGCCAGCATCCGGCAGGCAGCCAGGAACCAGTCATGCGCCCGCTGGATCTCGGCGCTGGCGGAGCTGCCGGCCTCCATGGCCGCATCTCCCGTGAGCTCCGCCTTGAAGCAGGGGACGCCGCCATCCAGGAAGCACACCTTGCTGCCTGCACGTTCAGGGGAGCAAACAGCGCCGATAGAAGCGTGAGCACCACGGTTGTGGTGGGGAAAGGCGGCCACGAGGCACGCAACACCGCACCGTGCGCGGTGAGGAAGAGGCGGACGGGCAGCCGCTTGTGCGGGGGCGCGTGCGCCCTGAGGAAGACGCGAGTGCACAGGTGCTGCAGCAAGTCATGCAGCTCTGCAAGCCGCCGTTTCTGCAGCCAGGACGTGGGGGGGACGCCAGAGACGCCAGGGTGGGGAGCCCTTCAGCCAAAGGCAGAGCGGAAAGCAACGCTCACGCTCTGAGGGCTGCCACGCTGGCGGATGCGCGGGCATCGGTTCTCAGCACAGCACGGCACTGCATGGCTCGGCCCAACTCACTGCAGGCCCGGGGGGGCGCACCTCTTTGTCGCTGAAGCAGTGCTCTGAGCCGTCCCATGTAGCGTTGAGGGTCTCATCCACCAAGAAAGGCGCCCCATACAGGGTGAATTATGCGGGGCCAGGTGTGGCGGCCTGGTGCAGCAGGCGCAGGCGCCGCCGCTGCCGCCGTTGCCATGGCTGTGGCTGCTGTGGCCTTCGCTGCTCCCGCCCAGCAGGCTCCAGGCGGCGGCATCGATGGCGTCGTAGCTCAGCAGCCGAGGGACGTCTGTTCCGGCGGCTGAGCCATTGCTTCCAGAGGCGGCGTCCCACCTGCCGTCGTGCCCGCCTGGCGGCCCGGCCTCCGCCGTGCCGCGTGCTACCGGCGCCACCGCCCGAAAGTCTGGCAGCGTGCCCGCTGGCCCAGTGTACGTGCTGGCTGCAATGGGCATGCGCCGGATTATGGTTTCCAGCAGTTGCTCTGGCCCAGCAGGGGCCGTTGCCTCGGCGGGCTCACCGGCACCCGCTGCCTCCTGCCCCGCGCCGCTCTGCTGCTGCTGCTGCTGCTTGGCTGCGCCCTCGCCCTGCTTGCTGGACCCGTGACCCATTGCTCGATGCAGGGGAAGTGAGAGCAGTGCGAGAGTGCACCAGAAGGTCGAGAACACTCGGCCGAGCAAGGTGAGACTCCCAGGCAACAGGCACTGAGTGAGCAAGTGACCTCTCGACTTCCTGCTTGCTTGTGCATAACTGGGAGGGCACTCCAGCCACGTCAATCCAGCTGGCAAGGCCTCGAGGCAGGTCCAGCTCATCTGATAATGCTCAAGAAGGTGTTAAACTGAGAGGAACAGGATGGGAGTGCAATGCATGGGATCGAACTGGCTCAGGGAGGCAGGATACTGAAAGTGAGGGTTCAGGGGGGCAGAGATCAAGAAGAATCGAGGGGGCAATGGCCGGCGCAGGATACAGAAGGGTGTGGGACTTGAAACAAGGGGGTATGTGCATGTGTCGAAGGGTGGGCGGTCGAAAGGCCTGCTGGGTGGGGTCGCCCACCATCAAATGGCACCCCATTACCCTGAAAACCAGGCATGCTGTAGGGTGCGCTGCGCGTTCGCGCGGCATGCAGGCAGCAAAACTCAAGGGGAAAATGCTGGAGAGGTGGGGCGCTGTTAGTGAGGGGTATCCCGCTGACGGTCGGTTCATCTGTTCAGCCGAGGGTTCTGGAGCGTGCAGTGCAACTGATTTTGCTGGTGCCGCGGCGAGGGCCTTGCAATCACTCCTCCTCAGGTGGAGACTCTTCTTCAGGAGGTGGAGACTCTTCTTCAGGAGGTGGAGACTCTTCTTCAGGAGGTGGCGACTCTTCTTCAGGAGATGGAGACGGCGACTCTTCTTCAGGAGGTGGAGACGGCGACTCTTCTTCAGGAGGTGGAGACGGCGACTCTTCTTCATTAGGTGGTGAGGGTGAGGGTGAGGGTGAGGGTGAGGGTGAGGGTGAGGGTGAGGGTGAGGGAGAGGGTGAGGGAGAGGGTGACGGAGACGGCGAAGGTGACGGCAAAGGAGACGGTGAGGGGCTTGGAGACGGTGAGGGGCTGTCGCTTGGAGCCGGGGCAGGGCTCTGCACTTCGGCTGGGCTGGGGCTGGGCGCGGGCTCTGGGCTGGGCGTGGGCGAGATGGAGCTGGTGTTCACGGAATCGTCCCCGCCAGAAGGCGCCGGCGCTTCGGCGGGCTCCCCCGTGGGCGGCGAGCTCCACTGCGGCTCCGGCGAGGGCGCCCATGCTGGAGGGGAGCTCCACTCGGGCTCCGGGGCATCGGCCCAGGGCTCTGGCGCAGGAGCATCAGCCCATGGCGCATCGGCCCATGGCGCATCGGCCCAGGGGGCGGGAGCGGGCGCCCAGGTGGGCGGGGACCAGGTGGGCGGAGACCACTCGGGCTCTGGAGCCCATGTCGGGGGCCAGGTGGGCTCCCAGGAGGGCTCCGGAGCAGGCGCAGCGACAGGTGCGTACTCGGGTGGGTTTGACCACCAAGAAGGAGGAGGAGGGGAGGTGGTGGGCCAGCCGCCGCCGCCGCCGCCGCCGCCGCCACCACCGTTTCCTCCGTTGCCGCCGTTGCCTCCGTTCCCGCCGTTGCCTCCGTTGCCACCAGAGCCGCCGCCCGAGCCGCCGCCGCCCGAGCCGCCGCCGCCCGAGCCGCCGCCGCCGCCGCTGCACTGGCTCTTGACCCAGTCAGGGTAGTAGTTGCTGTAGTTCTGCAGGGAGCCAGGAGGAAGGTGGCAGTACAGCGGTACATACGTCAGATCACGGCCGCGACGTGAAGGGCAAGCAACGGCTATGTGCTCAGGCAGCACCTCCCGCTCCCCGCAGCGCCTGCTGCCCTATATGACTGCCTGCCCATAGTCGCCCAAAGCGCCTGCCACCCTCACCCACACACCACCTGCAGGCCAGCCCCACCACACCAGCGCACCTGCATGTACTGGATGGGGTTGCCGTACTTCACAGGGTCCAGGAACATGTCGGACAGGGTCTTGAACATGCAGCAGGCGGGCGGGTCGTACAGCCCCACGGCAGCAGAAGCGCACAGCAGCCTGCAGGGGCGGGCGGGGTGGGGAGCGGGGACAAGTGGGTGAGCAGGGAGGGCCGTTGACAAGGGAAAGACTGCCGGTGCGGCAGGTAAACGAGCGCGAGCCCAAAACGCCGTCAGCAGGCCAGCGGGCAGGCCAGCAGGCCAGGCCAGCAGCAGCGCAGGCTTGCCTGCCCACTGTGGTGTTGAGGGTCCAGTGCAGGTTGTCGGGCACGCCCTCCAGGTTGCACACCTTCTCCATCTGCGAGGGACGCGGCAGGCAGGCGGCAGCCGGGGTGAGCAGCTGGCGGCGGGCCGCCAGCCGAGCGCTACCGCTGCCGCTGGATGCAGCAGCAGGCCCAGCGCAGGCCCCCAACACAACCACACCCACACGTGCACACATCACCACCACCAGCACGCATGCAGCAGTGCATGCCGCGCCACGCCCGCCATACCTGGAACTCCGCCTGGTAGCACGTCTCCTGCTGCAGGGTGGTGTTGGAGCCTGCGCAGTAGTCGTACGCACCGCAGGTCTCCTCGGAGCAGTTAGGGGAGCAGCCGGGCAGGTACACAACGCGGCCGATGTGGTCATACCCGTTCCTGCAGCGGTGCAGGGGCGCGGCACGGCGCGGCTGAGCATGGGACAGCAGCGCAGAACGGCACCGCGCACCACGGCGCGGGACAGGTCGGCACAGCGCCGGGCGGGGTCAGGCGGGCAGGCCAGACGTGCACGGCTGTTGGCTGCACCAGGCCGGCCGCTCACCCTGGTGTGGAGTCCTGGGGGATGAGCGGGATGACATCCTTGGAGTAGACGTAGCGCAGGGTGTAGTTGTACAGGCCCAGGTTCCAGTATGCCTGCGCCCAGCTGGCGCTGCCCACCCGGGGGGAGCCAAAGGTGTAGACGGCGGCCACGGTGGCGTTGGTGGTGGCGGGGGGCGTCCAGCTCTGCAGCAGCGCAGCGCTGAGGGTGGCCAGCGCGCCGCCCAGCGCGTGCCTGCGGGCGCGGCGGGGGGGCAGAGGAGAGGCGGCTCGGGCATGTGAGAGGCAAAAAAAACATTGGTGCTTCAGTGGCGTGGAGCGGCGCACAGCAGCTGCACAAGCCTGGCGGCAACAGGGCCTGCCGAGCAGCTCCGCCATCGACCAGTCGGCAGCAGCGTGGCTCACCCGGTGAAGTAGACGGGCAGGGTGCCGTTGGGGTCCAGCTCGCCCAGCGCCTTGGCCAGCTGCAGTCATGGGGGTGCCAGGCACAGCCACGTCGGCAGGCAGAACGCACTCCCCAGGCAGGCGCCGGCGTCGGCCACCTCATGCTCAGCCTCCCCTGCCGCCAGCCCACCCTGCTGCCACCAGGGGAGTCGGCGAAGACGGAGGCGCCCCTGCCCTGCCACGCACCTCATTGTACACTCCGTTGGTGACGTCCAGCAGGCCGCCGTGCACCTGCACGGGGCCCTGCCCCGCGGGCAGGCCGTGCGGTCCCAGGGACAGGTCTGCCAGCGGCTCCACGTCGGTGTCCATGAGCAGGTCTGGGTCGTAGAAGAGCAGGGGGCTGCGGGGAGCAGGGCAGACGACAGGGAGGGGAGCGAGGGGACGGGGTGGGAGGCATGGCAGGGAAGCAGGGAGAGGGTGGGAGCGGGCAGGGCCAGGAGAGGAGGCGGGTGGGGAGGCGGGGAGCAGGGCACGAGGCAGGAGAGTGGCAGCAGTGCGAGCAAGAGCGGCAGCAGGGCAAGGGGCGGCGGCAGCCTCACCCTCCAAAGGCCACGAAGATCTTGTTGGGGGTGGAGAACAGCAGGGCGGCTGCAGGGTCAGGGGCCAAGGGGTGGGGCAGAGTGGGTGTGAGTGCAGTGCTCGGGTTCGGGCGCAGGCAGCCTGGCTTCCCACGCTGCCCGTGGGCTGCCTTGCCGGCCAGTCCTCCCAGCGCCCTGCTGCCACACCAGCCGTGCCTTCATCATGTGCATGTCTCACCTGCTTGGGACTCTGGAATGTAGACCAGGCTCACAGCCGTAGCGCCCATCTTCTGGGCAGCGGCCGTGACGTTGGCCAGCCAGGCGGCCTGCTGCTCGGGGGTGCAGGTGTCCTTGCAGGTGATGCCCACCGAGTAGGGGTCTGCCAGCCAGGCCAGGTCTGCCGCGGCGGCCGACAGGCCGTCGCTGGGCAGCGGGAGCGGCTTGCTGGGCTGGAGGGAGAGGCAGTTGGTGCAGACCTCCAGGGCGTGGCGGCGCTCCACAAGCAGGGCGCGCCCGTGGGGCCCCTGCTGCAGGGCGTGGCCCGCGTGACGCAGGCGGCGAGCGGCGGCGGCGCCAGGCGCCACCAGCAGCGCCACCAGCAGCACAGCGGCCACCGCCAGCTTGGTGGGGTGTAGCCCGGCTCCCATTGCTGGCTCACTGCGATCAGGGGGGGCAGCAGCAGCGGAAGGCTGTCGGGGGCAGGGTAGCGAGCGATGCATGCCTGGCATGCGGGAGTTAGGCCCTCGCCCCGCTAGCACCCAAGCGGCCGGCGTTAGCCCTACCTCGTGCACGGTCTACGCCAAAAGGGGCAGATTGGTCGGCCACAAAGGGAGAGGGGAGGGAGCTAAGCCCTACTGGTTGTGTCGGGGAGGGGCTGAGCTTGCAAGGCTGGGAGGCTGTTTAATGTGTCTAAAACAGGTGCGGGCCCCGTTTTATAGTCGTGGAGATCCCCAGACGCGCAGGAAACAGCTGCCGAAGCGCGGGTGGAAGCTGCACGAGAGTTGCAACAGGGGTGGGCAGCTTCTCAGCCCTGATCTGCGCGCTGAAGGGACCGATAGAGGTCTACAGGGAGCGGGGAGTGGCCGGGGTGTGGCCCAAGCAGCACAGGCACACCCCGCCATGGCGACGCCCGCCAACACGGCAGTACCCTGTGGGGCGGCAGCTTCTTGCAGGCTTTGGTGCTGGAACGGGCAGTAAACCAGACTTGTGATGATGATCCATTGACTCCGGCCAATTGAAATGGGCGCCACACGAAGCAGGGCCTACCTTTACCTCCCTCGTCCACATGGCATGGTGGCCATGTGCATGGTGGCCATGTGCATGGTGGTCATTTTGAATTGGCCGCGAACAAATCACGATCTGCTGCGCACCATCCACACTGCAGCAATCCTGCACGCGGCCCTGTGAGCCTCCCGCGACGGCTTTGGAGCGCAGCATGGCACAGCACGGCCGACCCTGTGGGCATGCATTGCAGATGCAAACGATCGGTTGTCATCACACAATCACAGCCAATGGCGGGCCGCGAGCAGCAGTCGGTTCCCTGGTTTCCAGAGGAGCGGCCCCAGGAGGTGCTTGCAAACGGCGTGCGGCTGGATGGCCGATCCTTTGAGGAGTTCCGCAACGTCTGTGAGTGGCCCCGCCCGCCCGCCGCTGAACGCTTGCCGCCCCGCCGGCCCCTGCCACCGCCGCCGCCGCTGGCGTGCAGGCAACGCTGCCTATTCGCCTGCTGTTCTGCCGTGCAGTCCTGAAGACAGGCGTGATCAGCCAGGCCTCTGGCAGCGCTTATGCCGAGTTCGGCCACACAAAGGTGCCTGAGAATGCAGGGCGGGCTGCACCTGCATGCATGCCCACGGCTGGGGGGCCTTTTTGCCGTCTCGCTGCTCCACACTCCTGCCTGGTTCTGCCGGCTGCCTGCCTTGCCCCACCACCCAGCGCGTCTGCCGGGCCGTGCAGGTGATGGTGGGAGTGTACGGTCCACGGCAGAGCGAGCGGCGTGTGGGGTACAGTGAGCAAGGGCGGGTCAACTGCGACGTCAAGCTGGCCAGCTTTGCCAGCAGGCAGCGCGGCGTCTTTGGGCAGGTGCGTGGAGGGGCCCTGGGTGTCGGCGGGCACGGCTGTCCTGCTTGGTCGGGCTGCCGCTGCTCCCTGCAGCTGCCAGGCGCGTCCAGCACACAGCGGCGTGCCATGCGCCCGCACGGCTGCCCTCGGCTACTGCCCACCCAAGCACTGCTGCCACGCCGCGCTCCGCGCTTCACCATCCCCGCCTTCCCTCCCGCGCCCTCCACGTCTCCCCGCCAACCGAACAACCACCAAGCAGTCGGCGGAGGAGCGGGAGCTGAGCGCAGCGCTGCAGACGGCGCTGGAGGCAGCCGCCGACCTGGCCTCCTTTCCTAAAGCCTCTGTGGACGTGTTTGTGCTGGTGCTGGAGGCGGGGGGCGGCGAGCTGGGGGTGGCGGCCACGGCGGCGGCGCTGGCGCTGGCTGACGCCGGGGTGGAGATGTTTGACCTGGTGGCGGCGTGCAGCGTGGTGCGTGGGGGCGGGCCTGCGCGGCAGGCACGGCAGGGGCGCCGCGAGCGTGGGTGCTTGGGGGGCCTGAGATGGCTGCGTGCTGCTGGCGCCCCATGCTGCGCTCCCGCTAGGGCCAGCTCTTGGTGCGCTTGCTGGTGCTGCGGGTTGCCAACCGCTGCCCTGCTTCCTGCCCTTGCCCGTCCATAAGCTGCTTCCTCTGCGGGCTGCTCCCTGCTGCGCGTGCCGTGCCTGCAGAGCCGGGTGCAGGGCAGCCTGGTGCTTGACCCCACAGCGGACGAGGTGTTCAGGGAGGAAGGCGGCCTCGTGCTGGCGCTGATGCCTACCAGCAGCGAGGTGTGCGCTGCCGCCCGCTTCCCACGCCCCCGCCCCGCTCTCGGCTGCTTTCCTGCAGGCCACACCTGGCGCCGCCTGCCCTGCTTGTCTGGACCTGAGAAGCGGCCTATGGCCCTGAGAAGCGGCGGCGAGTGCCTCCAGGAGTGCGGCAGCTTCGATAACCGTCTCATTCTGCCTTCCTCCCCTCCCTTGCCTTGCCGCAGGTGACCCAGATGGTGAGCCGGGGACGATGGAGCAGCAGCCAGCTGCGGGAGGGGATGGAGCTGGCCATGGGGGGCTGTGCGCAGCTGGATGCGGCGGCACGGCAATGCTTGAAGGAGGCGGCCGCCAGGCAGCAGCAGGAGCAGCAGCAGCAGCAGCAGACAGGAGGGTAGAGGATGGCAGCCTCCTCTGCACCTACTGGCTCATGCGCTTGCCACCTTAGTAACTCGTCAATCGTCACATCCTGCTCGAGAGAGCATTGTGCCTTGCTGGCTGGCGGCGACCTGGCGGCGCCTGGCGGCAGCACATTACAGTCAAAGGGCTCTCCTGGCTGCACACCAAGTAGTTGCGACATGACGGTGCAGATAGAGGCGGCGGCACAGCCGCCCGTTTCCGGGCAGGGTTCTTGCGAGTCGGCCGGCTGCCCCTTCTTGCCGCGTCCATTGTGGGCGATGATCATACGACATGCACTGTCCGACGCCCCCTATCGAGCTGTCCTCACCACGGCTGCCAGGCTGCTGGCCGTGTCGCGCCATGTGCGCTGGGAGCACAGCTCGACCAGCTCGTATTTGTGCCATTAGGAGACGCAGTGGCACTGCACGATCACAGCGGGCGCCTCATTCCAGCCAGCTCCGCCGCCGCCGCCGTTGCCGCCTGCAGGTTGCCGCCGCCGCTCGCGAGGTGGAGCTCGCGCTCGACATGCGGGGGGCTCCTGGGGAGCACCTCCACCAGCTCCTCCCCCTGCTCACCACCCTGGCCCTGCGTTCGCTGCTGCTGGCGCCAAGCCACGCGCACGGGGCCGAGGCGCTGCTGCGCTGCGACTCTGTGACGGAGGTGTCTGCCGCCACGCTGCGCGTGCTGGGCGCCAGCGTGGCGTGCACCGACACGCTGCAGCGGTACTCGCGCCTGGAGCAGCTGCACCTCGATGCCGGCGTCCTGGAGCGGCTATACCCGGGTGTGTGGGGTTGGTGTGTGGGCTTGGTGCATGGTTGGGAGGGTGGTTGTGTCCCTCCTCCCAACCGCTGCTGGCGCCGGCCCCCGCGCTCCACCACGCCTCCTCCTGCCCTGCCCTGCAGCCGTGCTCCACGACATGGCGGCGCTGGTTCACCTGGGCCTGCACGGCTACAAGGAAGTGGAGCTGTCGGCGCTGCCGCCCAGCGTGGCTGCCACCCTGCAGGCGAGCGGTTGGTGTGTGTGTGCTGCCGACGCCCTCGAGGGGCAGGACAGGGCGTCTGTTTGGGGAATGAGAGGGAGGCCCCTTGCGTCCAGGCTGCTGCGAAATGATGCCAGCCTCCACACCAAGCCATTGCCGCCGCGCAGGTTGCGTTGCTTGTCTGATGCCACTTCTCAGGCACGCCACACCTTGGTGCTGTGCAGGTGCTGGAGGTGACCCCGCGCCCCGAGGCCATGCGGTGCCAGCTGGCGGTGCGGCTGCCGCCCGGCATGCGCCTGCGCCGCCTCGCCGTGCACGGCTCCTTCCCCCGCCTGCTCAGCACCAAGGCGGCGCCCAAGGTCTGCATTGACACACAGGCGCTCTGCAGGTGCAATGGTGTGGGTTGAAGCAGCCAGCAAGCCAGCCAAGCAGCCAGCCAGGCGTGTATTCACCGTGAGGTGGTACCAAGCACCCCAGCCAGGATGCAAGGGCGGAAGGGTGTGGTGCCCGGTGCTCTGCACCCGCCTGGTCGTCCACCCACGCCACCCATCTGCGCAGGCAGTGCGAGCATGCACGCATCGAGGCGCGGGAGGCCGTCTGGCAGCTGCCGCCCCAGTTCAAGGGACACTTCTCCCAGAGGCGGGCGGGTGCGGAGGCCGCACTGGCGGCGGCACTGCTGGATGCACAGGCGGCGTGGAGCCGGCTGGAACTTCACCTTCTGGAGCGTGCTTTCGTGGAGGAGGCGATGCCGCCGGAAGATTCCGGCCCGCCCACGCTGGTGGGCAGGTTGGACCTGGAGCGGCTGGTGGAGGTGCGCCTCGGGGCCCTGTTGGCCGGCCCGGGCAGGCAGGCAGGCAGGCGCGTGCTCAGCACCTGCTGCCCTACGTTTGCGCCCGCTGCCGCGGCGCCTTGCTGCTGCTCAGGCCGCGGCCGCCACCTGCCGTGCTGCTGCTGCAGGCGGTGCTGCGGCTGGGGCGCAGCACTGTGGCTGCCAGCCTGCGCCGCGAGAGCGTGAGCATCTTCAATCCATGGGTGCTGGTGCTGGAGAGGGGACGGGGACCTATACCAGCACAAGATGCAGCGCTGTAGCCTCGGCCCAACAGAGTGTTGTGCCCTCTGCTTGCAGCTCTCAAATCGGGATCACTGTGCACTTTACCACCCCCAGCACATCACCATTCCCACATGCAGCTGCGTGTTACAGTGTGTTGCAACCAATCGTGTGACTGACAGGCAGAGCCAGGCGGACCAGCTTGGCTTCACGTGCCCGTGGCGGCGCTCGGGGCGCTGCCCCGACAAGTGACAATGTGCAGTGTCTGGAATTGGCGGTTGGCATTGGCAAGCCTTTCCTTTCCCCTTGCAGTCTAATCCACTCCTTGCTTACCGCCGGCCGGCCACGCGCTGCCGCTCTGAACACTTACACCAGCTTGAATGGCAGCCAAAAGAGGCTGGCAGCAGGCAGGGATGGCTTATGCACACACCTCTCAGCGCATTGCAAGGCACAAACGGCGGCTGGCAGGTCGGCCCGAGCCGCGCCTGCCTGGTCAGCTGCTGCACGACAGCAGCTCCACGCCCAGCCGGCACTTCTGCGGCGCGGGCTCGAGCCAGGCCGGGTCCAGCCCGCTGGCGTTGTACGGCTGCAGCAGGGCCGCCATGTACCTGCGGCGGGACAGGAGTGTGTAGGTTAGGTTGAGCGTGCATGGGTGGTGGTGGCGTGGTAGTAGAGCCTGCCTGGTGCCTGGTGCTCGGTGCTCACGCCTCCACAACCCTTGGTTGTTTTCAAACGCGGACGCAGCGCGGGCCGGCATCTCAGGCCCCGCCCCGCCCTACCTGTGCAGGGGCTGGTAGTTCCCTTCCTCCGCCTCCCCAATGATCGTCACCATCACGTGGTTGCGTGGCACGATGGCCGGGTTGGCGGCATCCTGGTGGACAGAAATAAGGCGGGGTGGTGGAGAGGGCGGAAGACAAGTGAGCAGCTGGAGCCTCAAAGCACGCACAAGGCCATGCAGGCAGGCAGGTAAGAGAGCAGGGGTGCAAAGGTGATGAACACACCTGGATGGCAGCGCGCTCCTGCTCCGCCATGCCCTCCTGCGCCAGCCTGGCGCGGTACAGCTGCACCCACTGCCGCCACGCCGCGTACCGCTCCTCCTCCAGAGGGCCCAGCGCGCAGGCCAGCGCCGGCGGCAGGCCGCTGGCGGGCTCGTCGCCTGCTGCATCCAGCCCCACGCCGCTCAGGCTGCGGAAGGTGTTGGTGTAGTCGGCTGCGGGTAGGGCAAGCCGGAGGGTCAGGGGGTGGACGGGTCAGGGTCAGGGGGTGGTCTCGCAAGGAGGGCGAGTGGTGCCAGGCAGGAGGCAGCGGAGGAGAGGTGCAGGATGTTTGGCATTGCTCAGAGCCCCGGGCCTCCAGAAACCCTCCACGCAGCCACAGCAGCGGTGGTGCAGCGCCCGCCACACGCACCCTAACCACCACCACCACACACAAGACCGACCACACAAGACCGACCACAAACAAACACACCACACACGCACCACCATCACCCACCCGCATCCTCGTACATCAGACGCAGCAGGCCGCCCGCCACCTCGCGATCATAGGCGCGCAGGCCCAGCTTGGCCGCCTGTACCTCATCATACCGCTGCAGTAGAAAGAGAGCGCAGGCGGTACAGGGTGTGAAAGAGGGAGGTGGCATGAGAGGTGGGGAGGTACGGGCCAAGGTGAGGTAGGTACGGGCTGGGCTGGGCGCATGGGGCGGGCCGGCAGGGGTGCCACGCGGCAAGCGGGCCCAGCCAACCCAGCCTCCCGCAGCAGGCCTGCCTGCGTCAGCGTCTCTGCATACGCGGCCAGCGCCGGCGCCGCCTCCTCCTCGCTCAGCAGCCCCGCCACCACCAGCGCCCGCGCCAGCTGCACCAGGTTCCACTGCCCAATCTCGGGCTGCTCCCTGCAAGCGGCGAGAGGCAGGTTAGTGAGCAG